AATCCCAAACTTCTGAATAGGTTCGTCATCAAACAGCACTTTTTGGATGCATACAGATGAAGCTAAAATGGAAAAGTTCAAATTCAGATATTTATATGCTGTAACTTTTCTGTGAAAGATGACACCTAGAAAGAACATCCTATCCTGTTTGGGCTACAGCCTACGCAAATTTTTTACAGCAAAGTAATAATTCAGACTGTCTTCTCTGAATAAAACAAGAATATATTTTTTTTTAGAATAGCAGGGAAAATGGTAGGGATGTGATGTTATTTGTAAGCGTGCCAAGTAATTATTTGGTATTTATTGTCGCCAGTCGTCTTTGTTGGATTTCATGTTTGCACTCTTTGTGTCTGATGGTAATGTTATGACAGTGGAGACCTGATAAGAACCCAGTAAGACTGTAACCAGTATATCCTGCTAGACGGCAGGCAGGCTGCACTTTGGTACGATAACATGTAGTTTGAACTTGTTTACTCTTTTCAGATACGCCTGACTGACTCATTGGACCTTATGTGATTACTGCATTCACATGCTGTACATAACCCAGTGTTCTTTTCTCTCCGCAGCCAAAGGAACAATATTTCACCTGCCCTCTATTGAAGCACGTGTGCTTCATTGTACCACGAGGCTCAGGGGGTGGGCGTCCACTCCCTGTTGACTCGCGTGTGTTACTCTTACATGTTTGCACTTTAACACCTGTGTACTTTCTGTATGACTAATCGGCTTTTCTTCTATACAGGTGAAAATGCAACCTGTTTTGTCATCATTAGTCATGGGGCCCAACTGCCGGTGTGTTACTAAGGATGACTAAGCTTTGGAGAACGACAACACACCGGAGAGCCAGTATGGTGCGGTACCCACAGTATAGCACCTTATGTTGCACAGCAGCCATCACCAGTCAAACTACTTTTACTCACAACCGCAAACTAAATCTGTATCAGTTTCTTATGAATCGACAGCAGGTGAGAAAACGTGATCAGGAAGCAGGAGCAGGAAGTTTCCCGATTTATTACCTGAAGTTCTTTATTACTTCTACTGTACTGATAACCGTCTGTTTAGTTCCATTTCAGGGAAGTTTGACAAGAGGTTGGAGTGACTTTCCAACTTGGATTAAAGAAAACACAGATGAAAAGTGTTAGTTAATAAATGAGTGGGTTTATGAGCGAAGTTGCACTTTAATTGAAAACAGCACAAGAAAAATTATTTCTTAGCACTGGAACCATCATTGGAAACAAACCGAGTTAAGATGCTCCACGAAAAGGAAAATGTCTTTTAAAATCTATACTTTGAACATCTAAATCTGCTCACTTAAGCATATAAGTGCTAAAGTGAGCAGATTTAAATGGTAATTAAATTCTAATGTCCATGGAGGGTTTCTTCCTCCATATCAGAGCAGATGTCTTCCCTCAAAAGTCCCTGGACAACCCTCCATATGACTCTCGTCAACACAGAGGATTGTTCAGTTCTGTCAAACTATTGCGTCAACATACCTCAAAACCACTTTTTCTTTCGATTTCTTCAGACCAATAAAATTCTTTTAACACTATTTACAGATTTAGCGAGGCCAAGACTGGCTTTACCCTACCTGCAAAACTAATGCTATTCCCATCTGACTCTGTTGTACAGTGATTGCAGTGCTAAATGGTAGCTTCCTAACATGTTAAACCGTAACAATGAACACGACGAACATTACGGCTGCTTTATTTTTGTCTGCATGCAGCTGCTGTGTCTAAGTAAAGCCTCGCAGAGCTGCGAGAATGGCACAAACTGTCTTTCTTTTTTACTTTTGCATAACTCAAACAAGGATTTTGTTCTGAGTATGAGAGGAAGTGTGGTCCTGGGAGTGTTCATTGAGTACGCTCTGCCTGCAGCTAACGGCAGCTTGTTGTCTCACACTCAAAACTCGGGGTCAAACTCGGAGAGGTCGGCACCCTCCGCTGATCATCACCACCTGCTGCAGACAAGAGAAAAGTCTTGACAACAGGCTGAACCCACTTGTGGTGTTTGGAGCTTTTTACACTTCTTTAAGTTGAGGAGGGGAGGAGGACGAGGGGGGGGAAGGGTTCTTCTTTGGTCTGCCTTGAGAGCCTTGTCACGGCAGCCCAGCCAGATTGTTACAGTGGTCAGACTGTCCTGTGCTTAAAGAGGATCTCTTCCATTACAAATAGAAGTGACGAGGCCAATCAAATCGCTGGTCATGCCTGAGAACATTATGTCAGTGCCAGACAGCGTGCTGTTTGGACGCTGTGCACTGGGGGTTGGTGCTGGGATTTGGAAACGTACAAAAGGTCTCTTGAATCATCACATTGCTGCAGCTACAGAAAGAGATACTTCCCTTTGAGTGAGTTGTTTTTTTTTTTTTTTCAAAAGACGTGATCGATTCTGCAGCTGCGTGTTACCTTCGGAGAGGTTGGGTTGTATAAGCTGCAGCTGATTTCCTCACGGTCTCATTTCTTGTACTTGACACCCAATGGGAGTTGATAAACACTTGCAGTTTCTACACAGCTCTGGGAAATAACCCTGTGAAAGAGGAACTATACCCTCTTGTTGTGCTCTCGTTAGAAAAGATCGCCAAAGCGCCGCATGAAACACAAGAACACCACGTTTTTGTGGTGAAAGAATATGTAAAATAATACAGCCAGATGGCCTTCTGAATGCCACATCGCCTTGCTCACACTGAACACTGGGAACTTTCTAGTGTGGGCTTTTGTGCACAATGCTGAAAGTGTGCATTCATTCTCACAGGAGAGCATCAGCTGCTGCAGGAAAGCAGGTCTAATCCTGTACTGGTGGAGTGCAAGTTGCTTCTTTTTCTTTATAAATGTGTTTCAATTTGACCTTTTTGTCAATTGGTCATGGAGATAAAAAAAAAGCTGAAACATACAATACGTTCATCACTGAGAATGCTGCACGCAAAAGCAGAGTTCTACTATGTTCCCTAATCTGAGACAAACAGATCTTTAAAACGTAGTTGATCGAACAGCAGGGTTTATTGGGTGCACGTTGGGGTTAACAGGGACATGCAAGTGTGTCCTTGCTGCTATAATCAATAACATCAGCTGGTTTGCTATCTGCCAGGACTTTGTAGCCTGTGACATCTATCATGTTTAAAGAAGTTAAAAACTGCTAAAAGGAAGAAAAAAAAAAAAGGGGATTTAATTCCAGGTGTCTAGAACCATGTCCAGACTGCTTGTGAATCATGCGCCATCGAATAAATGATTGTCTAATAATGACAAAACCTTAATATCACACAGCTTTGCATCTTGACTCTTTCCTCCCCGTAATGGTGTCACTTGTCTTTTGCCGTAGGATAAACCGAAGAAGACATTGCCTGTGGTGTCTGGCTGGATTTCAGTTGGCTGAGACTGCGGAGTTGCTCAGAGGAGGGTTTTGAGGTAAATTGCTAGTCTGCTGAAAGGAAGCCACCATCTTCCAACAAAATGCACAAGCTGTTCTTTTAGAAGAATATTACAAAATGGATCATGATCACAAACCATATCAAATCCTGAGAGCTATTTTTTCCGAGTGAACAAGGCAAATATGATTCTTCAACTTCACTTTATCGTCAACAATTGCACAATTGTACATTTTAAAACGACACAAAACGGTGTTTGTTGAATCTACAATACAAATTGTAGTTACAAGGCTAAATTAACAGGTTTGTGTGGAATTTGAACAACTACAACTATTATTAGTCCCCCCAGTTATGTTTACACCACTGTCCCTTCTTTGACTGAAATGTAATTAAAAGCATTTGGGAGGTTGAGTGGAATCTCAGCAGGCTAAACCAATAATTTGGCAGTTGCAGGCGTTTGAGCTCTCTGCTGGTGCACCGCCTTGTTGGCCAGAGGCCCCAGAGTGTGCAGATTTCTCCAAGAAGGTGACACAATAACATAAAAAAAACCATCTTCAGCATCTTGTCATCGCCCCTTTTTGCAAAGTAGACAAGTTACTTTCCTCAAGTCCAAGATGTTCGTTTGTGACTCATGTGCTTCTCTTTATTGTTTCATGTTTGGATAATAACAGCATGTAACATGGTTTCACAGATTCACCATATTGGGTTTGTTCAGAAATTGCACATAAAGGGGAAATTGCTGTAATACTTCAGCAGTGATTTTCCCACCGATTTATATCCTTAGCAAGCACATTTGCTCAATTTTTTTTTCTTTTTGCGTAACAGTAGGGCTGCAACAATTAGCTGGCTAATAACAGATGATCACAGAACTATTAATGATGAATCAAGTTATTTTTAAAAGCAAAAATGACAACTGTTATCCATTGTCAGCTTTTACAGTGGGGTAATTTCTTGCTTCTCTTTTTTTTTTATATCACTTTAAATAGTTTTGGACTATCGATGAGGGAAAATAAGTAATTTAAAGACATGATAAATGCCATTTTTTTTCAGAAAAAAACTCTATTACCATGTATGTTATACTGAACAGTATTTACAGGCTTAGATGTGGGGTGCTGCAGTGCAAATCAAACTGCACAATAATCCCCCCTAAATTGTCCCAGCAGCATCTCTGAGAACTTGCCACAGTGTCTCCATCACGTCAATCAGACTGGCTCAATAACGTTGAGATCAGGGTCCTGCGTGGGGTGGATGGGTGGATAGGGGGGCAGCACCATCTGTTGCTGGACTCCAACACTCTAAAGATAGCTGGCAATGACTGTATGATTTGAGGTCATGCTGCAGAATGACACCTGCACGATGACGGATAAAACTCCAAACATTTCTGGTGCGTAAAGGTTGCGCACAGCCCTACGCGCCACTGTGCCTTTTTTTTTAATTTTATTTTTTATTTTTTTACCCCTTCCTTAAAGGTCTCTGCAATGCATAACTGCGCGGTCCCACTGTGAGATACATCATCTGAATGCATGGAGGCAACCTGTGGTGAAACTTTCAAGTAAACTCGTGCTGCCGAGTGCGTTTGAGGACAAGCAGGACCCAATGAATGAGCGGCTGCTCTGACGATGCTGCCGAGCGCTGCCGGTCGACACGCCCCCAGCATGGATACAACGAGCAGGAACAGGCGCTCAGGAGACACACTCACTATGCTGGAGATTGTTTGAAGCCGCGATGGGAGTTAACGCATCCAAGTTTCTAGAGTTCCTGTTACCAGCGTCGTTGCACTAAACAAAGACTTTGGGTTTCTCTGGTTTTCTCTCGCTTCTCTCTCTCTCTCTCTCTCTCTCTCTGAGGGGGCTTGTCTGCATTTTTGTCCGAGGCGTTTCTCGCACAGGATGTTGATGATATTGGAAAGCCGGGTAAGATAAAGTCAGTTCTCTCTGATGAGAACGACCTCCTCCTCTTCCTCCTCCTCCTCCTCCTCTTCACCACCACTACACAAAGGGAACCACGGAACAACTACTTTGTTTTTTTTTTTTTTGCCTCCTCTTCTTCCTACACGCCATCATTTTTTATTTTTTGAATGTCATTAAGAAGCAGAGGAGGCTGTTTCAAAGACAAAATGGATCACTTTGCAGCAGAGTGCCTTGTTTCAATGTCCAGTCGTGCAATTGTTCACGCTCCTAAAGGGAATAGGGAGATTAAACCAGAAATCCCGTCCTCCTCCAAGAACGGAGAGGAAATTAAAGAGCCTCTGGTGAAGGAGAACTCCTCTCTTTTTGTGGTGGCGCGGATTCTGGCGGATTTTAACCAGCAGACTCCCAACAGTGTTGCCGAGCAGGCAAAAATAAAGGATGAGAGCATGCCGAACCTCATAGATGATGGAAACTCTGCCACACCTACCACCATCTCCGATCCTTCGCTCAAACAAAGAGGCAAAAGATCGAGAGGTCGGACTGAGCAAGAATCACCTCAGAAAAAGCACAAATGCCACTATTCAGGTTGTGAAAAAGTTTATGGCAAATCATCCCACCTCAAAGCCCATCTAAGGACACACACAGGTCAGTTTCATTGGATGCAAATGTTTGTTGCTGTGACTTATTGTATTTCCCTTGCCTGTGTGAGAACGGATGGGATGATTAAAAAGCGAGAATACTCGTGCAAAAGTGTGGATTCTCTTACATTCGTAGCGATATTTGCGCACAGGCTGCTCGCTGCGCTTCGAGCCATCGAGCCGTAAATATTCACGGATCCACCCTAGAGGGAAATAATGATCGGAGTCAAACTTTAATAATTCAATTATTCCTTTAAGTTGTATAAACTTTGAGAGATGTCCTTTTAATTT